TCCTACTTCCTAACACTCGGCACTGGAAGCCTTCAGCAGGTCCTCACAGGCCCCGCAGCACGTGCTGTGACGTGTAACATGGACATGTTAGGCGCAGGGCAGAGCAAGCCAGGGGAAGCATGGGACAGAGGGGAGGCTCCAGAGTCACTTGAATAGGTGTTCTGGTACTTCCAGCCCCTCCAAATAACCCCCACCGGATGTGGCACAGACACAAAGGGGTGGCTTCTGCTCCAACTCACCACTAGCTTTCCCTAACTCTGGACACCTCTAGAGCTCTTGCACCTGAGACTTTGATGCCATCAGGGAGAACTGCACTCCTGTCTAAAATCAGAGACCCTCAGGCCACAGGGAGTTTGCAACTCTGCTTGTAGAGAAGAGAGAATGGTGCAGGACGTGGTTGGTTTGTGCTAAAAACGAAGCCTCAAGGGACAGGGTCCTGCCATACATCATTTTGAAGAAAATAGATGAGGATTTTAAGAAAAAAGTCTAAGAGCAGTACTTCCAAGATTTAATCCCAAAAGATAACCCCTTTTAATTGTTGTCAACCCCGTATCCCTTATTTTTTGGAGATTTCTTCCCCTTCAATGACCCCCCACTTCCATTCCAAGTATCAAGTTTCTGTTAAATCACACCAGCAATAATTTGGGAGAAAATCATTTAGAAAATAATGTAGTAAGATGTGATATGAATAAGGAACCCCAGCATTAGAAGTCAAGAAGCCTTGGGATATTACTGGCAGGCTTGATCTGACTACCTGTGAGAACTACCTGTCACTCAATCCCTGGCTCAAAAATAATCAGTAAAGTGAGAGAGCTGAGATAGAGAACTCCAGAATTTTGTATCTGACCTTAGAAATTGTCCTACATTATCACAGATAGTCATTGCATATTTTTATAACTGTAATTACAGGAGGATTAAGTCAAAATTAGGACACAGTGCAGGGAATTCAAGGATGTACCTACAGTACACTGGCAAGAAATAAAAAAAAGAATAAATCTCTAAAGTTTGGTTCATTAGGCCATTCGGTTTTTAAAATACAACAAATCAATATAGCAATTCAGAATTGGCCCTTCTTGGTTTGCATACAGAATGCAGGCTGTTGCTAAAATTCTTCAGTGCTTAAAGTAGTAAACAGCAGAAAGACACACACATCTAGATGCCCCTGTTCCTTAGATCTTGCAACTTTCTTTTGTTACTAGCAACAGTTTTCTCTTGCTTTGGTTGTCTCTGCTTCCTTATTTCCTACTTAGAGTAATCCTTTGCATTCTGACCCTGTGGGGATTTTCTCCTAAATCTTTATCACCAAATCTAAGCCTTTTCTGAGTCTTTGTCCTTTTCAAGCTTTACAGTATCCGATGTCACTGATCACACATACTTCTTAGATAGCCTTTTTTTTTTTCCCTAAAATAATTTCCTATTTTATTTCCTTGACTATTCTCTATGTTTTCTCTTCTTTCTTCCACTATGTTTTTCTCCACACTCTAAAGTCCTATTCTTTATCCTTTATTTCATCAAACTCTATTCCATGGAATCACATCTGAATATCAGCTTAAATTATTATTTCTTGGTAGAAACTTCACAAATCTCTAATTCTGATACTATCCATTGTCCAGAGTTTTCAAAAATATTTGCTGAACAAAATCAAATAAAATCATCAATTATTGAATGTTGACAATCTTAGTATTTAATATATTGAATAAATATTATTAAAATTTTTTATATGAAGTATTCTCAGGTAGGTGATAAATATATAGTACATATAGTACTTGTAAGTCCTGATACCACACCCACTGTATACATACATTTGACGGTTACTATATTTCAATATACATTTGTATATCTTATACTGCTATTGTAAACACTACCATTTTGAGGAAAAGGATTTAAAGCTATGAATAATAATAAAAGTGAGACATATATCATCAACTCCTGAACAATGCCCTGCATCTTTACCATGTGGAAAAGTTCTCAAACTTTTGGTCTCAAGACCTTTTTGCACTCATAAATTACTGAAGACCCCAAATAGCTTTTGTTTATGTGAGTTATATCTATTCATAACACCTTATTAGAAACTAATACTGAGAAATTTATAAAATATTACTTCATATGGTAGGCAGCCTCTAAGATGACCCCCAATGATTCTTACCTCCTGGTATTCATCCCCTGTGTACTTCCCTCCCCTTGAATATAGGCTAGATTTATTGACTCCTTTCAAAAAATAAAATAGCCAAAAGGATGCAGTGTCATTTTCAAGATTAACATACAAAAAGACTGTGACTTCTGTCTTGTTTATTCTCTCTCTCTTTTTCTCTCAATTTCTCTTTCTTTAGGAAGCTAGCTACCTTGTTGTGAGTTGTCCTATGGAGAAAAACTCATATGACAAGTTCCTCTGATGTCTCTGGCCAGTAGCAGTGAAAAACTGGGTCCTGTCAGTAGCCAGGTAAGTGAGCTGAGAAGCAGCTCCTCACCCAGCCAAGTCTTAAGATAGCTGCAGCCCTGCTGACACCTTAATTATAGCTTTGTGAGAGTTCCTGAACCAGACATACTCAACGAGGCTGCACATGGATTCTTGACCACGGAAATGGAGAAATAATAAATACGTACTGTTTTAAGTTGCTAAATTTTGGGGTAATTTGTTACACAGCAATATATAACTAATAGGTTCATTTTTAAATTATTATTTATGCCTACAGCACCTGGTCTTCCTAGGTGGTCTCCTATCCAAGTACTAACCAGGACTGACCTTGCTTAGCTTTCGAGATCAGACACTGGGCTTGTTGAGGGTGACATGGCCATAGACCATGGACTGTGGCTCCACTGGGGCATGAACCCAGGATCTTCTGCGTGTAAAGCAGACGTGCTAACTGCTACACTATGGAACCACGTCCTAATATATGCATTTTAAAATAACAATAAAAACATTTTCTATGAAAAATAATCATGTTTTCCAGAATGAAAAATGTAATGAAATGAGCGATATTGTTCTCATTTTTGCAAATCTCTCTAATATCTAATTTCATAGAAGACACCTGTTTTCTCATGTCTGCTTCTGAATTTAATCTGTTGCAGTACAACATTTTGGTTGAAATACGTGAACAAAATCTAGGCTTACACAGATATGTAGCTGTAAAAGGAAAAAGTATTTTAATAGACTTTCCAGGTAACTGTGAATATTCTTCTTTGATCCTACACCAGCATTCAAGAAGTGGTAGTTTCCTAAAGGTTAGTTGCAATGTAGAAACCATATACCTTGTTAAATTAAAATGTATTGGTCTGTCTTGCACTTTGAATGGATCTTCTACTGGTGAGTGATTTTGTAACATCATGCATTGATCATTTGGATAACATTGGTTCTCTGAGTTATGCAGATCTTCTATTGACACCTTTCATTATACCACTTCCCTTCCCCCTCCCCCCAAAAACCTTTTGTTAATATCACTATCGCTTTTATCAGAAAAGTCTTTAAGTTTGGGGAAGCTTTTGTATTAGTTATCTATTATTGCAAGCAAATTACTCCAAATTTGGCAACTTAAAACAGCAAACATTTATTATCTCACAGTTTCTGTGGGGCAGGAATCCAAGAGTGGCTTAGCTGGGTGGTTCTGGCTCAGAGGTTTCAGTCAAGCTGTTAGATGGGCTGCAGTCATTTTAAGGCTCTACTCAGAGACGTCTACTTCCAAACTCACTCAAGTGCTGTTTGGCAGGCTTCAGAAGGTCCACTTCCAAGTTTATTCACATGGTTGGTTGCAAGCATCAGTTCCTTGCCATGTAGGCCTCTCCATAGGCTGCTTGAGTCTCCTTGTGATATGGCTGCTGGTTTCCCTGCCCCAGGACTACCTCGCAACCTGGCAGCTTATCCCAATGAGAGTGATGACGGGGATAGGGAAAGGGAGAGAGGGTGCGGGGAGAGAGAGAGAATAAGCCACAGTCGTTTTATCACCTAATCTCAATATGACAGCTCATCACTTCAGCTACATTCTATTCACTAAAAAAAGTCCAGCCCACACTCAAGAGGAAGGCAACTCAGCTCAATCTCTTGACGGGAGCTGTATCAAAGACTGTGAAGACATATCTATAAAACCACCACAAGTGGCCAAGCCCATGGTGTCAAATACAAGTTTTCCTAAATTCTAATTTTTGCTTTAAAGCTCAAATTTATTATTGGCAATAAACACTGTTAGTTGTTTTCTTTGGAATAACAGGCTTACTCCTTTCATTTTGGGGAAAATATCTTGCTAAACACTCAACTCTGTATAACCATAGTTTCTCTGTCATTCTTTCAAGTGAAAATGATATTCTATAAAAAAAGGCAGCTACTTCAGCTCACAGCTCAAATAAGTATACTATTGCTTTTCCTTGAATCGATTATGTATGTCTGCATGCAGCAGAAGGGCTTTAGGCATAATTCCTACCAAATCGCATAGAATATTAAAATGATGTATATCCAAGGGTCAATATTTAAAAAATTTAATCACTTTTACTCCTTCATCTAGGATAATCTCAAATAAAACTGACTTCTTTTTTTTTTTTTTTTTTTTTTGGTTGGTTGGTCATTTATTTTTGGTATAGACTAGACTGCTCAGAACCTCTACTGGGAAATCATAGTAGGAGGAGGTAAATCAGGAAAAGCTTCAAGGGAAAAGATATGTGTTGAGATTGGCTGGAAATTACATTTAGACTGGCAGAGGAAAAAAGGTAGGAAAGGAAAATAAGCAAAACCAGTAGAGCTGAAATGAGATGAACATGTTATGTTCAGGAATAGAGAGAAGACTAAGTTGGGAATGAGCTGTGGACCAGATGTGGGCATCTGTGAAGGCCACCAGCCTGATTTCCTCATAAACTAGACCCCATCTGAAGGGGCAGTGTGAGAGAGGAGGAATGGTAGAATTCCAAGGGCTCCTCGAGATTGTCATCTAGCCAGCAGGAACTATTTACCACGCCTAAGGACACCAATGCTAGTCACAACTATACAGTTAAAAAAGAGCTTTCCACCATCTCACCTTTTCTCCTTCCCTCTTGCACCTTTGAAAAAGCCGAAAGCAGCAACTGATGAGGGAGATGGAGTATTGAGAAGAGGAGAAGCAGCTGACCGTAGCTCCTTCCCTCTTCCACTGCAGACTTCCAAACCTGGAGCGAAACTCAATTGAGAAAGAAAAGAAGTTTTAAATGGAATAAGAGTAGAGTTTGGGATTATTACACTAGACTGGGCTCTAATTACTAAAAATAGACTATTTACTACCTGAGACCAAGCATAAAACTATAAAATCTACCTGAGATTTCAGAGGAGTGGAGTGGAGCACAGTGAGCTGGAGTAAATTGAGAATGCTAGTTTGAGGAATAGTGGGAGAAAAGAGATAGTTGCTTTCAACTTGCACCCTACTAACACCTTCAACTCCTTTAATAAAGTGGTTACAATAACTATTTATTCAGCACTTATTTTTTCCAGGCTGTGGTTCTGCTGGGCAAGTTTCAATGAATGGACAAGATGTATTTACATTTAGGAGAATGGTCCTTTCAGATTAGGGCCAGGCTAATCTGAGTTCATATTTTAGCTCTTAAAAATGTGATACATTGTTAACCTCTTAGACTTTTAGTTTCCTCCTCTATAAAAAGAAGATGAATAATGTCTACTTCATAAGGTGGTTGTAAAGAATAGATGAGATAATGTATGTATACAGTGCCTGGTACATAATGAGCACTCGATAAATTACAGCAACGATTGTGATCATTATAGTCTTTCTTAGTAGTTTGGAAAAATTTACCAGACATTAGCATGTAAGACAGATTGAAGGCGAATCAAGACTAGGATCAGGGAAAAATTAGAAATGTGGAGTAATAAAATGAGGCTAAAGTGGTAGTCATAGGAACAAAATAGAGGTGAAGGGACAAATATAAGGAATATTTGAAAGGAAAATAAACAGAAGAGGTAACTGCTTAGCTCTTGGTAAATAAAAGAGAAGAAGGAATTAATGCAGTTTAAAATTTTAAAGCTTAGTTAGATGAAAGAATAGTAGAAATGGGAGAAATACAGATGTTGGAAGAATAAGCAGGTTGTGTGGTAAGAGTGGTGAGAAGAAAATATTAGTTTTGTTTTGCCACATTTCAAGTGTAAATGATAGTGGGACTTCCAAGTGCCAATATCCTATGTTTGGAAAGTCATTTATTCTTTCATTCTTGAGAGCCAACTTGGTGTCAGAGACCATGCTAGGCTTTGGCAAGAACAATTTAATAAAGAGTTGGCGTTTAAATGAGACATCTAGGCCGCACAGAAAGATTTGAGGGCCTTCAACATAATGCTGGCCTGCGAAACCATGAATATTAATCAGTTTTCCGATGGACAGTGTAAAGAACAGACAATTTGGGGGAATATTCACAGGTAAGGAGACAGAGGAAATGGGCAAATGGGTGAGCACTAAACCAGGATCATGTTTTATAATTACTTTTATGTTAAATTCTAACCATCTATAGTCTAGAAATATTTAATTATGATTTAAAAAAGGAGTTTCATAGCAGCTGTCCATAATTTTTAAACATTTCATTTTGAAATAATTATAGATTTACAGGAAGTTGCAAAAATAGTAGGTCCCATTTACCCTTCACCACGTCTCACCTAATGACTACATCTTACATAATTATAGTACACTATGAAAGGAAGTTGACATTATTCAGATTTTACAAGTTTTACACGCATTCACTGTGTATATCTGTGTACAATCCTATGGATTTGTACTTGTTAATTTTTTCCTCTCACTCCAGTTTCTTAGGATGTGATGTGAACAATCCACACCATAGGAACTTTCTAAAATATTTTTTGTAGTTTACTGATACTCCCTAATGTTCACACAGCCAAATATAGCAAATGTCATAAAGATTTTTAAAATACTTAATTAGCAAGGAACTTGTATATGTTTTACACTATTGAATATATTGAGCCAGATTCTTCTGAGACCTTTATTAGTAAAACGTGACAAGGATTTCCAAAGTCCTTTATAATCTTGCGCTTCTACAGTTTTAGAATTCTAATTCCTAGATCACTTGGTCTCTTGATTTAAGCAAAACTTGTGGTCATTGCATTAATTCTTTTGAGTCAGGGTTAGTCCCTTACCTTATCAGGCCAGTGACCAGTGGGATACAGTTAATCGCTGTCTTATTGTAGTAAATAACACCGTTAGCTTGAAGGATTTTAACATAGTTTCCACAAGTTTCTTCCTGTGGCTTCTTCCTCAAAGGGCTTGCAAATGTTAGGTAATTGGAGAATAAACTAAAAATAATAGTTGTTCTAACAAAAATAACTTGTATTTTTAATGAAAATATGTTATCCCATTATTTTAAATAACAATTTAACTAAATCATCATGAACCATTTCTATTCTGGCAACATGTGACATTAACATCGAGTTTCATTTCTACTTAATTAAATCAAAAGTTGTGATACTCTGACCTGGGCTAGACAAGGAGGAAGTTTCTTCTCTTTAGGAAGAATATAGTATTAGGCCAATTGCCGAGACAATTAATATTTATAAACTGGACCCCCCCAAAGATACATAATTAATTTCATGAAGATAATAGAAGCTTTCGTGTTTGAACAAAAGTGTCAGCAGAAGATCCACGTAAGTAAGATCAGTGTTAAAGTATTTGCAGTCTGAGTAAACATCGCTTCGTAAAAGTGGCCATGAGACGAGGACTTTGTAAAACAGTCACATTAGGACGCTAGACAGACTTCCTATGTCTTACATACTGATGGCAACACAAGGCAATAATAAAGTTAGATTTCTAATTCAGTAATGTTCTAGAAAAAAATAACAGTGGGCTAAAGTACTTCATGTTGTTACTTTTACTAAACCAAAGTTAATGGAGTATATTTAAACTCTTAAAAGATTGTTCAGTAACTTGTTCCTCTTAAAACTGTACTAGTAGTTCCATTTCATGACACCAAGATTCTTTCAAGGGAAAATTTAAGAACACAAAGTACTTGGCTTTTAGTCAACAAAGCTGGTAGAGAGGGGAAAAAAAAACTTCAATAAGTACAAAACATGACATAGCAAAACCCATGTCTTTAAAAATAATTAAGAAAAAAAATAGAAAAAATATTTTTCATTTTTCATATTATCTTCAAATTTTGAGCAGAGAACCTTAGCCCAATCTGGGGCTCTAGATCTAGTTTCATCTCATATTTAAGCATCCATTTTGGAAATAACCTCCACGGGACGTAAAGCCACAGAAAGACCATTTGCTGAGCACTACTGGGCACTAACTCGGGGAGGGAGGCCTGAATATCCTCAACTTACAGATGCTTACAGGCATTAAGTGATTTTCCTCTATCACACAGGTGCCAAGGGGCAGAAACGAGATAAGAAACAAGTTTGACTGACTTAAACACTTACTGCTCTTAAGCATATTCTATGCTAATATCTATAAATCCTTCCCGTATATTTAAATAGAGCAGAACCTCTACTGAGCATTCAGCATTTTGCTCCTATGTATTGCATTTATTTATTTAAAAGTCCTAATAAAACACCATTTGTGTTAAATCAGATGACTTTTTACTCAATTAAATCAAACTATATGCTTTAGTATTATTTTCTGTTATTTTCAAAAGGAAAATTAAAATTTAATATAAGTAGGGGAAAACAGCATTTGCATCATATCTAACAAAGGGTTAACATTTTCACTTCCTATGGACTTCATAAACATATAAACATGCCAAAAAATATTTAACAGATATTTTCTAAATGCTTTCCACATACTCTGTATACTGTGCTATGTGTAGGAATAGAATAAACAAATATTTATTGACTTCATTTCATATTGCAAAAAAGTGGTTTATTTAGGATAATTCCATTTTGCAAAAATATGCATGTATATACATAAGAATATCTGGAAGGATGTATACCAAGTGATTATGAATGAGTGGTCAGATTTGTTTATTTGAAACAAAATAATGAACATGTGTTATTTTTGAAATAGAGTTTCATTTCAAAATTTAAAAAAAGTTTTAAACTTATAGACATTAAAATTGTTCAATTATTTCACCTACTGCCCAGGGTTTTTTTTTGGTAAAAATACACTTCTCTTTTCTTATCCAATGGAAGATGGATACCAGTAGAAATGGATTCAACCCTTTCTTTTGTACCATTATATTTCCACCTCCTGTATCCTGCCCCCAAGACACAACAGATACACAAACACTGACAGACATGTACACAGAGACATAAATACATGGACACAAGACAGTCTTTCACACAGCAGACATACACACACATTCTTCTCTCTCTCTCTCTCTCTCTCTCTCTCTCTCTCTCTCTCTCTCTCTCTCTCACACACACACACACACACACACACACACACACACACACACAGAAACACAGAGATAAAGTCTCATTAAAACTTGTTTTGGTGTAAGTGAAAAAATTTGGCAGACAGTTGATGGTTTTAATCTTGGAAAGAGCTTTCGCTATTCTCCAAAGTTTCCTAGTTTTGTTTTTTTTTTTCATTTGCAACCCCTGAATGCAATTTCTTCATGCTTGCATATTATAAAATGTATAAATCCCTCTAATGGAAAGATAACTCTCTGGACGACCCCTTTTGGAGTTTTTGCTTTTATGCCTAAGTCATCTGTTCTATTTGTTCTGGGTACTAGACTATCTTGGGACATGTGACAGATGCATAGCTGTAGCAGCTGCTAGTCTAAAGAGATGGCAAATAGCTCTGAGGAATCAAAACAGATTAATATGGAACAGTTAACAGGCAATGGTAATTTTTTTCATTTAATTTAAAAAAAATATTCTCTTTAGAGTCATGTATAGAATTTTATACGTTGTTAATCTAGAAAAAAGTTTTAAATAAATAGTTTTAAAATAAATTAAAGCATGCAATAGAGATAAAACCAGCCCCTACAATACATTCTATATACATGTATATTAAGTATTTCATTCATAAAATTCAATAATCCCATGTTAGTAGCATGTTAGTGACTATTTTAAAAAATATATTAATGGTTTAGTCACAATAAAAATTTCTCTGATTCTCAACTTTTTCAGTTTTACAACTCTGTGCAAAGCTAATGATTAAAGTTTTCTTTAAAAGTCCAATAAAGGTCATCTGGTAATAATGTTTATGAAGTACATTTCCCTGATATA